CTTTTTGGCACTGTGTTTTCCCCTCGGTTGTGTCTGTTCATTCGTTGCCTGGGTGTTGGGCTATTGAGGTGCCTGTGATAGACGGATCCCGTGCATCCAGGAGCGCAGTCCGTACAGAGGGCCTTTCGGGTTAGAAGGAAAGGCAGGTAAGACTAGCCTCCCTCCTGCTGAGACTTGGGGGATGAAGGCCATGGGGGCCTGACAATACCCACAGGAGCCGAGCCCCCTGCTCGCGCTGTATGGGCGGTGTCTCTTCCTGGGTTGACCTGGACGACCAGGCTCTGGAGGGCAGGCTGGGCAAGGGGACCTGGAGGAGGCTGCCTTCCGTGGGCCTGCACTAGCTGGGCCTGACCCAGAGCAGCAGGTTCTGCCCAGCCTCTTGCAAGCCAGGGCCCGTGTGGGTGTGGCCCCCGCCCGCATTTCCCTAGTCAAAGGGGAGAGGGAAAGCAGTCTGTGCTTGCCCCTGGTGCTGGCAGGGTAGGGTGGAGGGAATGCTTGCATACAACTTGTCTGACAGGATGGTGGAGGGGGATCCTCCCCCTCACTCCCTTCCAAGTCCTAGGCTTGCAGGTGGCTTGTAGAAAAATGACCTCGGAGGTATTGTTGTTTTGTTTGTTTGTTTTCTTGTGGGGGGAGTCGGGGAGGCTCTGGGAATTTTGAAACCAAGCAGTGTTCTTCAGCTCAGCACTTGGTGCTGGCGGGGCCCGCCCCCCCTCCCCTGTGCCTTGGCTGGGTCCTGCCTCAGACCTGGGCTGCCCTCTCAGTGCGGTGCAGGCCCACACACTCTGGGGTCACATGTTGGTGGAGGGAGGACCATCACTTGGAGAGAAGAGTCACAGCCAGTCGACTCCAGGGTTCTCCGCGGTGTGCCCACCCTCCAGACCAGCGGTTCTCAAATTTCCTAATACCAAGACCCTTTCATACAGTTCCTCATCTTGTGCTGACCCCCAACCATAACACTATTTTCGTTGCTACTTCATCACTGTCATTTTGCTAGTGTTATGAATCGGGCGACCCCTGTGAAAGAGTCATTGGAGCCCCCAAAGGGGTCGCGACCCACAGGTTGAGCACCGCTGCTCCAGACCATGGCTGCTGCCCCAAGAGTCCACAGGTCGGGAGGGCCTCTGAAAGGTGGGGCGAGCGTGTTGCGCCTGTGTTTATCTAGGAACACGCTTCCTGGGTGGCTCGGGTGTGCCCTGCCGGTCTAATAAAAAGGCGGGCTCTGGCCCTCGCTGGCTGCAGGGCAGGCCTTTTCCACAGCCTGGTGCACGGGCCGAGAAGTGGTTTACAGACACCTCTAGCACATCACCACTGAGTTTGACTGACTTCTTCCAGCCCACGGCCTGTTAGCTGTAGTAAACAGGGGGTGTGTTGGAGGCTTGGTGACTAGACACCGAAATGCCAGAAGCAGAAACGGAGGAGGAAGACAAAGAGCCACACAAGCAGGTGCCCGAGCTGCCACTGCAATGGTCTGAGCGGGCCTTTTGGGGCAGTGAGCCTGGGGAGGCCCCTGAGGCCATCATTACACAACACAACACGTTCCCTTAATGATGTGCTGGTAAGGACTCTAAATCACTCCAGGGAAAAGGGAGGGTGATTGTGGGCAGCGCAGGGAAAGCTGTAGTGTCTCACCCCAAAACCCTTGTGTTTCTTGGCTTCTGTTGTCTTTAAGACAGTTACTCTCTTCCCTCCAGTCCATTCTAACTCATGGTGAGCCCAGAGGACAGGGTGGACGTGCCCCTGTGGGCTTCTGAGACTCTCAGAGTGGCTGGCCTTGTGGTTAGCCACCTGAGGACGTGTAACCACTACCCCTCCAGGCTCCTTTCCACCCGCATGGTTGGAATGTTGCCTTCTTCAGAAGAAGGTAGCTCCCTGAGAAGTTCACGTGTGTGGAAGGACTTATCTCTCAGCAAAATGACTCCTATAAAATGTCATTCTAGGGCCCAAACCCCAAACCGAACCAGGCGCCGTTGAGTTGATGCTGATTCGTGGCCACCACAGGTGCTTCGTCATTCACCAGGCCTTCCCGCCTAGACGTGCCTGGGTGGGCTCACCCTTTCAGTAGGCAGCCAGACACATAGCCATCTGCTCCACCCGGAGAGCTTCACCCGTCACTGCCAGATAGACAGTCAAGAAGGAGCAACTATCAAGTGATAGGATGCTGCAAACTACACTGACTGTGTGGTGAACAGAAGAATTGTTCTAAAATATATCTTTAGTAAAGGTCCGACTTTAACACACACACACCATGTGTCATGGTTGACAAAGGGCCTGTGCCCGGGTGACTCTCGGGCCACAGCCACAGAGAAGGTGGGATGGGGTGAGTTGTTATCGACCACCTCCATCGCTTTCGCTGTTCTGAAGGGAAGCGAGACTTGTGATAAACAAAAAAACCCCGTTCTTTGTTTGGTGGCTAACAACTCTGTGGAGCTAACGCCTGTTTGTCAGCCGTCTCTTACTCCACGACTCACTCCTCTCCGCTCCTGCTGTGACTAAGCAGCCATGGACAGCACGGAGCCCAGTGGACACGTGGGCCACTAAGCCTGCGGGCTTCCAGCACTCGGCTACCATTGTGGGAACACACAGGCTTCTCAAGTCTAAGTCTGCGGCAGCGGGAATGGCCAAGAGCCTGCCTCTTCTTTCCGGAGCATCACCAAGCGGGATGTTCTTTCCTAAACAGTGTTGAGCGGGGATCTTCTCTAAACATCCTTGAGCAGGGATCTTCTCTCCTGAACATTGTAGAGGAGGGATCTTGTAAAAGGAGTGTGGGATTGCGGCTACTTGTTCTTAGCTGGGGAGAATTTAAAATGTGCCGAGTGCAGGTCAGGCCCCAACCACTCCTGGTTCATAATCCCCTGGGGTGCTTCTGCCCCACCTTTTAGCACCTCCGGGTTGTCTGTCACTGGTAGCACGAATGGCCACTGTCCTCTGGAGAGGGTTCCCTGTTGGACTGCAGACCGCAAGGTTGATGGTTCAAACCTCGGGAGAAAGATGAGGCTGTCCATTCCCGTAAAGGTTGATAGCCTGGGAAACCCTATGGAGTAGTCCTGCGCTGCCCTACAGGGTGACTGTGAGCTGGAATCGACTCGATTTCAGTGGGGGGTTTTTTTGGTTTTCTAGAGCGCACGGGTCCCTCTTTCAGAAATGCTGGTTGCTGTGTCATGCATCAGGTAGTGCCAGCTTTGCTGGATGTGAGATGGTCATTCCCCATGGTCACGGCTTCCTGTGCCTCCTGCTCCCAGCACAGAAGTACCTGGTGCAGGAAGCACATGTGTCCCCATGTGGCCAGATCCTCTGTGACTCTGTGTGTGTGGTACACGTTCACTGCCTTTCAGCCACTAACTCTCGGTTGCCGTGGAGGGAGCCCCTGCCTTCCTCTGCTGTGCAGCTTTCCACCCTCGGGTTCATTTCCAGTAGCCGGTGCGTCTCTGCCTGCTTAGCTTTCTGGACTCTCCTTTTCATTTGTGGGGCCAGGGGCAGTGGAGGGAGAAGGGAAATGGGGCGGGGGTGGGGCGGGGGCTAAGACTAACCTGACGTGTCGGACTACTGAAGAGCCAGCTCTTCCCTTCAGAGCGGCAGCCCCTGGGAAACACGAGCAGCCGGCGTGGCGTTTCCGTGGCTCCTGCTGCTACGGAGCGGCTTGGGTTCTCAGAAGACCTTGGTGTCACCCGCCTGTGCCACGTGGGCTTCCCACCCCACCCCACCCCCACCCCCGCATCTAGTGGCAAAGCCAAGGGATCACTGTTGCTTGCAGAGGAGCCTGCTGGCCATGGAGCCAGCCACAGAGCGTAAGGTACAGCGGTCGAGGAAGGAGGTCTGTGCTTGCTGGGTCTCGCACCCTCTGTGCGCAGACAGACTTTAGTTCATGCGGCTCAGCTGTCTCCCTGCTGTCTCCAGACCCTAGAGCGGCAGCAGGTAGGAAGAAAAGGCCCCATTGCCCTGCCCGTCTTCTGACGGGGAGACAGAGAGAGAGAGTTCACGCCGCCTGCGACGACGCGCACAGGGTGTTACCGGGCTCCGCCATTCACTCCTCACAGCACCTCCACGAACTCCCTCCACCCTTGTGCTCCCCTCGGGAGGGAGGCGGTAGCCAAGGTCAGGTGGTGGGCTCATTGTCCCACGCACCCGCACGTGGTCCCATCGCCTGCCACCTACAAGGAGAGCAGAGTGAGTCAGCCCTGCGGGTGGGGGGATATTTGGGCCAGTATAGCAGAAAACAGACAGACAACAATAAAAGCCTGGTTTGTTCAAAGCGCTCTCCAGCCTGGTGACTGTTCTCTTTGTCATTAGCTAGCTTGAGGCAGGTGGTCCTAGGTAGCCCCCGTTTTCCTCCTGCTGGTCCCAGATAAGGAGCCCTGGTGGCATAGGGGTCACGAGTTGGGCTGCTAACCACAAGATCCACAGTTCAAAGCCACCAGACTCTCCTTGGGAGAAAGACGAGGCTTTCTACTCCCGGCAACAGTTATAGTGCCCAAAGCTCGCAGGGGCAGTTGTAGCCCTCAAGGTCTCTCTGTGTTGGAACCAACTCGATGGCAGTGAACTTGGGTTTTTGTTTGGATCCCTGCTGACCCCGCATGGGCTCACCTTCAGTCTCCTAGGTTTGTCCTTGTTGAGAAGGTAGTGCAGTTGCTGCCCGTTGCTGTGCCCTCGAGGACCTGACTCACTCTCTTCTCTGTCTTTTACCTTACACTTTAGCCCACTCCTGAGGCCCTCTCACCACTGAATCCCAGCAGGAGGAGGCTGGGTTCTGCTCTGCCGGTCAGACTGCCCAGGGGCCCGGCCTGTCACCCATGGGGCTTCCATTTCACTGATGGTATCGGGCAAGGTGGCCCTGCTCACGAGGGTTCCCTTACCTCTTGAGAGTGGGGAGGAGGTTCCCATTTTGGAGGAACCAGCAGTGCGGCAGGAGTCCCTCGCCGATGGCCGTGCCTCTGCTGGCTGGAGGCTCTCTGGTGGCACCACCACACCCAGTCTCCTTCCTTCCTTCTGCTCTCTTCCAGATGCCGGCATGGACAGAATAGCTTATGATGCTCATCCCCGCCCACCACTCCCGAGACATTGAGCGGAAACCCCAGTACCTCCAGCCAGAGAAGTGCGTCCCGCCTCCCCGCCCTGGTCCCGAGGGAACCATGTGGTTCATCCGGGACGGCTGTGGCATCGCCTGTGCCGTCGTCACCTGGTTTCTGGTCCTCTACGCCGAGTTTGTGGTCCTCCTCGTCATGCTGATTCCATCCCGGGATTATGTCTACAGCGTCCTCAATGGGATTGTCTTCAACCTGCTGGCCTTCTTGGCCCTGGCCTCCCACTGCCGGGCCATGCTGACGGACCCTGTGAGTATGACGGGCGCCTTTTGGCCCGCCCACACGCTCCTCCTCTGGCCCCAGGGGCACTGGACCCGGGCACTGCAGGGAGCCGGAGGGCCAAGGGTGGCAGGCGGGTAGGGCAGCCTCCTTGTCACAACCTGCGCCTCGTAGTTAACACCACGCAGGGGGCTTCCTGCATGGGAGACTGGAACTTAGAGTGATGTGTCTCTGAAGCCCCTCGTGTGCCTTGAAGCTTCTGTGGAAGAGGTTTGGCCTCAAGAAAGCCGGCTCCTGTGGGAACACTGCAACCAACTCGCCCCAAAGAAACACTGGTCATATGGCAAGAGCAGGGAGCCTGCTGGGGGAGTGGGGCCGGAGGGTGAGGACGGGGTTGCCCAGTGCAGAGAGGACTGGAGCTGCACCCAGTTCCAGGAACCTTCTCAGTGTTTGAGCGGGGCTCCTCTTCCTGAAAGGCGAGACAAGCCTGTTCCAGGCAACAGGTCGTGGCCCTGGCTGACCACCCATGCCTGAGCCGTGGTGTCCCTCCAGATGGCTTTGCTGCAAAGAGATGGCTTTGCTGCAGAGACCAGGCTGTGCGAGTGCCCAGTGCAGGCCAGTGGCCAGTGCAGGCGTGCACCCTGCTATTAAGCCCTCATCCCTGCTCATTATCTCGGTGGGATACTGGAGAGTCCATTAGTCAGTAAAGACCTCCTGCGGTCTGATTGTCCCTGTGCATGGGATGTTAGTGTTTAAATTAAGCTGGGAAAGCCTGCCTGCCTGCGGGTGGCACTGGCCCTGCCCCCAGTGGGGGTGAGGGTGGGAAGGATGCACAGCCATGATGCTGGGCTCCTCCTACCTTCTCAGGGACCTCCAGTTCCCTCTGCTCTGCTGGTGGCTCCATATCCCATCCCCAGGGAGGGCAGTGTTCCCAGTTCCATGACACACCAGCCACCGGTCCCGAGCAGGAGGCTCGGTAGCAGGGCATATGGAGTGGCTACACAGCCATCCCCTGAGAAAGGAAGGACCTCCCTGTGTTCATAGGTGCTGCAAACATGCATGTGCTGAAAGGTTTTCCCAGCAGCTCCCACTTGGTCACACTGAAGACAAGGGTTGGTCTAGAAATGTACATGGGCACCCTTCGCCAGGGACACAGGGCCAAGGACAGTATCTTGCTCGGCTTCTGTGTCCCATCAAATGACAGGCAGGGCTGGCGGCCCCCGAGTCTGGGCAGCAGTGGCTGTGAGGGCAGGCAGCCCACAGCAGGGGGAGCTGGCAGGGAAGCCGGTGGGCGCTGAAGCAGGGTTATGCCCACCACAGAGGAAGGAGCACCAATACGCAGAGCACTGTGGGCCTGTAGCCCCTCTGGGGAGCCACTGGAATGCTGGGAGCCTAGAGGGAAGGTGAGTTAGGAGGCAATGTGGCCCAGGGTTCAGAGACTGGAAGGCAGTGAACTTCCAGCCGATGCTGCGGCAGGTCCTGTCCTGTCCTGTCGGGTCACTGTGTTAGAGTGGGTTTGGGTTTGGTGTGTGAGGTATTGGAGGTCAGGCAGGTAAATGAAGGGCAGCCTGTGCCCCGCCTACCCCCCTCCACCTTGAGCTTTAGACCAGAGTGTGAGGAGAGTCTGTGGCCACTGTCAAGGGTCCTCCTGGCAGATATGACCACGCCGAGCAGCCCCGGGGGTGCTGTGGGCAGGAGGAGAGGGCCCTCCCAGCCCTCCCCTACCCAAATGTTAGGAAGCAACACACCAGGTCACCAGAGCCCTCCGAGGCCAAGGGGGGAGCAACTAGAGACAGGAACAGTGTCATGTTTGAGACTCAGGAGTAAAACCAGCCAGCCAGGCAGAGTGAAGGGGGGAGCGGAGGATTCTGGTCTTTACCACAAGGGCAGTGGGAAGCCTCAGAGAGGTACGGTGCCACCTGGCCTTCAAGAGAACAGCTTGTGCACGTCAGGGGGGTCTGGGGGTGGGGGGTGGGTGAATAGAAGCAGGCTGGGGTGGGGGAGTGCAGTGGCCACGGGGGAAGCCAACGAGGCTAGAGGGAGCTGTGGGACTTGGAGCGTGTCTGTGGCCAGTGGTCAGAGAGAGTCCCAGGAGCACTGCACTCACACACACCCCAGAGCGTCCACTGTAATCAGGCTGAGTCGGCCTTGCCAGTTAGGAGGCTTTAAAGCTCCCAGGTGACTCCTGTCCAGCCTCTGTGCTGAGAGCTGAGAGCTGCCAGGTGGAGATGCATGCAGAGTGCCTTCTAGAGGCTTGGTCTGAGCTCCCAGAGGACTGGGGGTGCTGCTTAGGGGTGCTTCTTAGTGAATGGGAAAGACTGGGGGGCACAGATGCAGAGGGCAACTCAGACTTCCATTTCCCCCAAGCAGCCTGTGTGGCACGTAAGCAGAGGTGCCCAGTGGGCACGGGATGTCAGGGTCTGATAGTGGAGTGTGTGGGTCGTTGGCTTCCAAAAGGCCTGTGCAGCCCTGGCACAGGGAGTCCTTAGAGCCCCACACTTGAAGGGGTGGAGGGACTCTCAAGGGACCTCCTCTGTAGTGTTCAGGAAAACGCATTCCCACCATCCTGTGTGGCTCCGCTTCTAATCTCAGGTGGGCCCAAGCCACAGACAACTCTGAGGGGGCTTCAAGACATTTGTGGAAAACTGGAATGTTCCCACAAGCTTCTGAAGCCCCACCCCGCCCCTGGTATATCCTAGACATCAGTCCACCTCTCACAGGTGTGGCTTGCTGGAAGCTGCAGAGAACACTGGGCAGCATAATGAAGGGACTGTCCATATGTTTCCCGGAGTAAGAGGGGCCAGCTCAATGTGTCCTGCAGATAGGCCCGCCCCGGGGTCAGCCAGATTCCTGAGGACCCCCCTCGCCCCATTCCCAGCTTGGGGTAGTTTCTGCAGCAGCCACTGTCCACAGTGGAGTTGGAAGGAGAGAGCCCCAGAGGCCCCACAGTGGAACATGGGCTTTCAAGAAGCCCAGCTGGGCTGCCCGAGAAAGTAGGGGCGCCTTGTGGGCTCTGCCGGGCGCCCTGCAGGGTCGTGGTTGAAACGTGTGTTTGCTGACCCAGAGGCGCAGCCTTTGAGCCACCCCTGGCACAGGAAGATGTGGCACTCCGCTTCCCGGAAGATGTTCGTCCTTGGAGACTCTGGGCAGTCCCGCCCTGTCCTCCAGGGTCGCTTGGGGGCTGGTCACAGAAAGGGCTCGCCGGCAGGCTTTCAGAAGTGATCTCATGGACTGTGGTGTTCCACTTCACGAGGATTCATGTTTCATATCCTTATTTTCAGGAGGAAGTTGCCTTCTAAGGTTATGGACAGTGTATGCACGGTATCATTTTGTCAACCTTACTCATAATAATAACAACCTCTTCTGGTCACCCAGGTAGTTATTTTACTACTTCCAGCTTTAAAATTCCTTTCCCAAATGTAGGCTCAGAACAGTTGTTGGGCACTTCTATTTTCTTCTACTCGCTGCCCATCACTTGACAGGAGCAGAAAGCCCTACGACCCAGCACCTACCACCATACTGCCAGGCCTCCCTCCCTGGGACCAATGGGAGTCATTTCCTCCAGTGTAGGGACAAGTGGGTCAGTGTGTGGCACAAGTGCTGAACCAGGAAGAGACAAATGGCATTCAGGTGTGCCCCAGCCTGGGAGATTAGCTTCCAACTAAGGACTAGTATCCAGCGGGAGGCCTGCAAGCCGAGGGAAGAGGACAGGTGCGCCCGGTACTGGTGGGGTGGCCAGGTGGCAGGTCTGGCTGAGGCTGGGTCTCCTGGTGCCCTGTCCTCGCCTCTCTGGGGAGGTCTCCCAAGGAGCCCCAGTCTTCCTGGAAGCCTGCAGGTGCTCAGAGGCCCGGAGCAGCACCATTTGCCCAGTGACGCAGCCTCTTGAAGACATCCTGGACACGGCAGCCCCTTTCTGGCCACTCCACTCCCCACCTTCACCACCTGTTCTACTGTGGTTACAGTACGTTTTCATGCCTCCTCTGGTGAAATCCCGTGGGAAGAATTCCCTTTAAAATTCAGATCTGTCTCTC